TCCCACATGTCTCGAAGAAGACCTCCAGCACCCGCAGCACCTCATCCCACACCGCGTGGAAACGATACGTCAGGCCCTCCTCCACTGATCTGGGGAGGAGAAGAGACAGTCATACTGGCAGGAACCAACCCAGCACCAATCAGGGACTGGGCAGAGGCTGCTCAGAGCTCAGCCAGACCCACAGGGACAGCCTCTCCCACACCCCTGCTCCTCACCTGAACATCTTGCACAGGTAGGCAGCAGGGGCTGGGGCAGACGCAGAGATGGTGCCCAGGTCATCCATGTGAGGAGCGATGCACTCACTCAGGAGGGTCTGCAAGGACAAACAGGGAAAATAGGGCAGCAGTGGACTGTGGACCCCCCACCCTGGCAGGCGCAGAGGGGCACACCACCCCCTGGCAAGCCCCAAACCCCTGGGCAGAGCCCCCCACGAGGACCAGGGCAGCCAAGCAAGGAGAAGCACCCATGCACGGTACCTCCAGGGTCTGCGCCGCCGCCGCCACCACCTGGGAGTGTGGGGAGAGGAAGCAGTTCATGGTGGCTGAGAAGAGCCGGGGCAGGTGAGCCCAGCACAGCTCCTTCTGCAGCCTGGAGAAGAGAGACCAGACGGGTGAGAGACCAACCCACCACTGCTCCAGCTGCCCAGCCCTGCCCCCTGCCCGCACCTGCCCAGGTTGACGTGCGCCCGCTCCATGGTGGACAGCCAGGTCAGCAGCGGCTGGAGGTCACTCGTGCTAGGCACGTAGTCGTAGAGGGCCTGGGGAAGCAGAGGGTGAGTGGGTGGGTGCCACGGCACTGCCAGCCCCGTCCCTCCCCGCACTGTTACCCCACACTCACAGTGATGATTTGGGCATTGAGCTCAGCTGGCAGGCAGGCCACGCTGGCCTGGGCGCTGAAGAGGCTGTGGAAGGCTTGCATGGCGCACGCTGTCACCAGCTGTGAAGGACACGGTGTCAGAAGCGGGGGCTCCATGGAAGGCAGCACCCCTTCACACCCTCTGTCCCCCTACCCCAAAGCAGGCTCTGCCTGGGGAAGCCCAATGCTGCTGCGACTGCGCCCCATCTTTAGCCTCCCTCTTCCACAGCAGGCAGACCAGCTGCCCTGGGCTCCTCTGTGTTTGCATGCTGCATTTCCAGCCTCCCAGCTGGCAGCCAAGGGGGTTTGAGCTCTTCCAGGGTGCAGCTGAGGTGGAAAGGGGCTGCTCTCGCCATCCCTGGTGTGGGGACACTCACCACGTGGCTGAGGGTCATGACTCGGAGCAAGGTCTCGCAGCAGGTCTTCACCACGGCCGCGGGGAAGCAGGGCAGCAGGTCCCGCAGCAGGGCAAGGACGTGCAGGGTGGTTGTTGCCTCCTTGGTGCCTGCAGGAGCACAGGAGAGCCTGAACTCATGAAACCCCATGGCAAAGCCCTGCCCAAGGCAAAGCCCCGCTGGAGGCAAAGCCCCCATGACAGCAGTGGGGCTGACCCACAGAGCTAGGGTGAACACCCCTCCCCAACTTCTGGGAAGAGCAGAGCAACAGACAGATAGCTGAGGGCCCTCCAAAACACTTAAGGTGCCCCAGCAGCATCTCATAACCTCCCCCAGCAATCCAGGGTGCTGCACTCTCCCCTCTTCCCTTCAAGTCCTTATTCTCCCATGGCTGCAGGACCCCCCGCACTCTGCTGCAGACCCCTTGCTCCAGCGCCCCACACCTCCAGCTTTTTCGATCTCCTGCACGCAGAACTTGGCGGTGGAGGGTGCTGCAGGGTGATGCTCAGGGGCCGCGTCTCCAAACATAAATTCGCTGCCCCTCAGGACAGAGCACACGCCATACTGTGCTGCTTTCCGCACCTGGGGGAAGGAAAGCCCAGGTGGGTAGAAGCCATGGACCCTGGGGGCACAGCCAGCCCCAGAAATGAGCCCCAAAGACAGCATCATGCCTCAACAGGGGCACCGGGAGCTCACCTTGGGCTTGGTATGAACACAGAAGCTCAGCAAGCCGTGATAGACCTGGAGGGTGACGGGGTAGCTCCAGGCTGCCAAGTCCTGCTTCCGCAGCAGCGTGGCCAGGCAAGACAGGACCTACGACAAGGGAGCAGCAGGGGCATTAGCATCACCCCACAGAGACCCCCCCTCATTGCAACAGCCTCAGGCCGAGCACCCAGCACCGCCCTACAGCAGCAGCCTCGACGCCAGCTCTCAGTAGACCCCCGGACAGAGCTGGCACAGCCAGCTGCCTCTTGGCTACTCACCCATCGCAGGGCAGAGGTGGAGCTGCTGCAGGCCTGTGAGGACACGATATGCATGAAGGCCTTTGAGGCGTCTGAGAACTTTTTTATGAGCACAGGGCTTGGGACCCTGCCAGGAGAAGGGGGTGCATCAGTGGTGTGACGAGCAGGCAGCTGGTGACAGACTCGCAGGGAACTGCATCCCCATCCCACCCTGGTTGGGTCATTTCCCCAGCCCAGCAAGGGGGACAGTGCCAGCCCCTCTTCCATGATGGGGCCAGGTAGCTCTCCCCACTCCTTTGCCAGCCACTCACCGCTTTAGGACGAGGTTGAGCAGGTAGGCAACAGCAGCCAGCGACTCGGGGGACTCCACCGCCTCCAGCGTGGTCATCTGGGAACAGAGGAGGGGTGAGCGTGGGGAAGTGCGGGTTCGCACCAGGCCAGCCCTTCCCCATCCCCAAGCCTTGGGGAGGGGAGCAGAGAAACCAGGAGCAGCCCAACAGCGTCTCTGCTGAAGGACGCCCAGGGCCTTGGCTATGAGCGCAGCAGGTTCCACCACCGCCCCTCCCAAGAGCACACCCAGGCTGCCAACAGCAGCTGCCCTCGCGTCTCCTCCCCACGGCCATCACTCACCAGCACAGCAAAATACTCTGTCTCGCTCTCCTTGCCCCCCTGTGAGCGGATCACCTCCGTCACGGCCGCCAGCACGGCGCAGATCTACGAGCAGCAAGCAGAGCAGGTCAGCACCCTCAGCCTCACGTGCAGGGGGCCATCCCCACTGGACCCCCACCTAGCCCTGCTCCTCCCCGTACCTCTTTGTGAGCGGCAGAGTTGGACTCCCAGAAGCGCTGCACCTTGCTGAAGGTGACGTTGGTGCAGTCGCTCAGCCCGCTCAGGAAGGTGCCGGAGGACTTCTCCGTGGCGGCCTCCCCGGCATCGTCCTCCTCCATATGGAGCTGAGCACTGCCACTCGGCTGCTCCAAACGCAGGGACCCCGACTGCAGCTCATTGTGCAGCTTCACCGCATCCACCGTCAAGTTGCTTTTCTCTGCCGGGGAGAAAAGTTACGCTCAGAACCGTGAAGTTCATTGCTCTGCCATTCACCCTGAAACCCCCTACGCCCCCTTCTCGTCCCAGCCAGACCAGCTTGGCTGGAGCTCATCTCCAGCACGTGGGATATGGATGCTGCTTCCTCTTGAGGGGAGAAAGCGGAGCGATAACTGGAGAGAGCTCATAATTCCCGTGAAAACAAACCAGGGGATGGTCCAGCCACCTCCTCTGATGGAGGAGAGCATCGTGCCCTCACAAACACACCAAGGCTTTAACGCTGAGGTGCTCCGTGTACCCTGCCCCATTTATCTTCTTCCGCCTGGAGCCCTGGCAAGCAGACAGCCAAGGCACAGGCTTTGCATCCCTCAAAGTCACAGACAGCAGCTTGCACAAGAGTACAGCGTGTGCTGCAAGAGGCATTTCTTCATCAGCAGGAGAAAGATCTCCTTGGCCAACAGCAGCCAGGGCTGTGACACTCCAGCCCCTCGGAGACCACCGTGCTCTGGTGTTTGTCTCCTCCACCGCGCAGCCATCTGAACGGGAGCCTCTGTGGCTTTCCTCCCCACGCCAGACACCGCAGCAGCACGTAGGGGCACGGCCATGGGCTCCTGGGAGCCCGAGTCGCTCCCGCCGTGAGGTCACGCCGCTGGGCCAGCGGGGATCCTGGCTTTGCTGTACGCCGTGCCCCGTCTCACGCCCGCAGGCCCGGTGCCACGGTGAAGGTAAGGAGGACACGCTCGTTACCCCGCGGGGTCGGCTCTCCTCCCCAGTTTGCTGCCTCCTCCTCCCGGGGCCGCAGCTCGGGGGTCAGCGGCT